GAAAACAAAAAATTAATGCATGTGATTTTGAACAAAGTGTTTTGATTAGACACCCTGAGTGGGATATATGTAGTCTAAGACAAAGAACTTCATTTGGTGGTGGTGGTGTTACTGCTGTAATAATTCTAAATTATGATGTATATATCTTAGGATTTGGCAAGTGAATAAATTTATTGATATTTATAACACTGGCTACACCAACAAATCTGGAATGGGGGAAGGAGACAAAAGACTAGTTCTAACTAAAATTAGAGATGACTGTATGAACTATTTTTTCTTAGCTCTGTCCACTGAGAGGGCTGAGACATAATGACATTCCAGCAGCAGTGAACACCCCTAGCACCCAGATCTTGGTTTCTAAACAAAATCCCCTACCAATTGGAAACTTGAAGAAATGGCTAATTGCATGGTTGAGACAGAAAAAATACAAGATTAGCTTGAAATAGCTTGTTCCATTAAGTTTAAAAAAAAGTGCTTAAAAAATTGATGGGGCCCTAGCTGGTTTGGCTCAGTGGTTGGAGCACTGGCCCGTGGACTGACGGGTCTCGGATTTGTTTCCAGTCAAGGGCAGGTTGCAGGCTCCATCCCCAACCCAATCAATGTGTCTCTCTTTCATCGATGTTTCTCTCTCTTTGTCTCTCCCCCTCCCTTCCACTCTGTCTAAAAATCAGTGGAAAAAATATCCTCAGGTGAGGATTAACAAAAGAAAAAAAAGACTGCTGGGGACACAGGAATCAACTTATAGGAGCTCTCATCAGCCAAATCTGTAATAACTTGAGCATCAAAATATATAATGGCAGGACTGGCTTATAACACACTGATTTAGAAAAGAATCTGTATGTCCATTTTATATTAAAATGATGAAACATACAAAGAGTGGGGAAGAGAAGAGAATCTCTTTTTTTACGGAGGAATTCCAACTAACAATATTAGAAGAGGTAATAGACATTTTAAAGTCACCAATTTACACTCACGGTAATAATCAATTCAGGCAAGAATCATCAGTGGACGCTAAATACCATTGGGTATAAGAACAGTCACAGGGTATCACAGCATCTCCCTGCAGATAACGTGAGTCACACGGGGGAAGGCACCATACAAGGGAGAAACCTGGCAGACACCACCATAAACAAATGATGAAATTTAACATCACCAATTAGGGTATTTACCAACGTCAGGTGTATCCCCTAATGTGACACAGCTAGGAGGCAACATTAACTGTGTTGCATTTCTGTCCCAGAGTTTAATCTGATTCTAGCAATAAAGAAATTATTTGGACAAATCCAAATTGAAGTGCACACAACAAAAGCCAGCCTAAATTTTCAATGACACAAAACAAACAAAAAGCTTAACGAAATGTTCTAGATTGAAAGAGATTAAAGAGGCAGGACAAATAAATGCAATGTGTGATCTTTGGTGAATCTAACAATCAGTGACTGATAAGTCAACTAATTTATTTCACCACAGTAGCAGATTAGAGAAATAAATCATACAATCATCTTAATAAGTGCAGAAAAATATTCGATAACATTCAACATCCACTTATGATTTTCTTAAAAACTGTTAGAAAATTAGGAATAAAATAGGGTTTTATTTTTATTTTATTTATTTTAATTTTATTTTTTTCTGGGTTTCATAAAGAGTTATCTACAGAACAGTCAGAAGTGAACACCGTACTTTCTGACAAAACATTAAACACTTTTTTTAAAAAAAAACACCTTTGGAATAAGATAAGAATACCTCCAACCACCACTTTTGTGAAAAATTGTCATGGAGGTACCCACCAGAACAGTAAGGCAAAAGCTAGAAAAGGTACAGAGATTAAAAAGAGAGCAATAAAACCTGTCATTATTGGCAGGATGTGTCTATAGAAAATCCAAAAGAATATACAGATAACATTAAAAATTTGTTTAATTGGGTTCAAAATCAATATATAAAAATCAATTTTATTTCTAGACACCAATAGCAAACATTTTCAAAATAAAAATTTAAAAATCTGTTTACCATACAACAAAAGTCATATGCCTGAGACACATATGTGAGGCCTGAACAGAGAAAACAATAAAACTTTGAGAAGCATTAAAGATCTAAGTACATGCTCATGGTTTGGAAAACTCAATATTGTGAAGATCTCTATTTCCCCCAACTTGGTTCATAGATTTCAAAGCAATTTCTATCAAAATCCAAACAAGTTTTTCCTTTGTTTGGTGGAAATTGACACATTGATAGTAAAATTTATATGAAAGTTTAGGGTCAAGTCACTCCTTAAAAAGAAGGAAAAATAGCCCTTGCCAGTTTTGCTCAGTGGATAGAGTGTCAGACCGTGAACTGAAGGGTCCGAGGTTCGATTCTGGTCAAGGGCACGTACCTTGGTTGCAGGTTCTCTGGCCTTGGTAGGGGTGCATTCAGGAGGCAACCCATCAATGTCTGTCTGTCTGTCTCTCTCTCTCTCTCTCTCTCTCTCTCGCTCTCTCTCCCTCTCCCTCTCCCTTTTACTCTCTCCAAAAATCAATGGAAAAAATATCCTCGAATGAGGATTAACAACAACAACAACAACAAAACAAATAAAAAAGGAAAAATAGACTTGTTTTTCCGAATAATAAAACTTACTATAAAGCTATAGAATTAAGACAACGTGCTGTTGGCACAGGAATAGACCAATGACCTAATAAAGCAAAACAGAGTTTGAAACAGATGCAGGCACATAGGAATCCTTTATATATGAGCAGAGGCGGCTTGTTAGAGCTGTGCGGAAACAACTGCTCAGCAAATGGTGCCGAGACAAGCAGGCCTCTGCATGCAAAATATGATATATAATTGGGGTTGTCTCTCCCACACGTCACAAAAGTCAATTCAGATGCATTAAAGACCCGAAAGAGAAAATCAATTCATAACGTTTTCAGAAGGAAATACAGGATATCCTCATGATTGCAAGGCAGAAGAGGATTCTCCAATAAGAAGCAGAGAGCACAAACCATAAAGGAAAAGATGAAATACTTTGGAAATAGAGAGACTGAATATACAAACAAGGGCCAGACCACAGCTGACAATGGAACTCCGAGCGCCCACACATCTGCAGCAGCCTAGCCCAGAAGCCCGACCACCACCCTCAGCCTAGACCAGTGATGGCGAACCTATGGCACGCGTGTCAGAGGTGACACGTGAACTCATTTTTTTGATTGATTTTTCTTTGTTAAATGGCATTTAAATATATAAAATAAATATCAAAAATATAAATCTTTGTGCTACTATGGTTGTAAATATCAAAAAATTTCTATATGTGACACGGCACCAGAGTTAAGTTAGGGTTTTTCAAAATGCTGACACGCCGAGCTCAAAAGGTTCGCCATCACTGGCCTAGATGGTTGGGACTTGGCCCATGACTGCAGCTTCCCTACTTTTGTCCCTGCTTCCTACTCAGGACCAACCTGAGGAAGCCAGATATGTTCCCCAAAGGGATCACCTCAGAGGCCTCCAGCCTCCATCCAGAGCACCCCTGCACCTCCCCCTTCTCACTGTCAAGCTTTCCCACGCCCCTGCCTGCCTTGGAGTCTGCCCATCACACGTGACAGTGGCGGACCCCTTGCTATAGCCACCTCTGAATGAATAGCCTCCATTTGTTCTCATTTGGGTGGTTTTCATTCCCCACCCCCGCCCCGAATTAAGGAATTTGCTCGTCTACAGTTCCCTAAAGAGGGTGGAAAGATGAACTTCAGAGTATACGATATCTGCCGTACTTACAACAACAAAGAGCAAGTGCACAGCATGTACAAAAACTCCTAAAAACCAACGAAGAAAGGACAAACCCCTACAAAAATGGGAGACACGCTTGAACAGGTACTTTATGAAAGAACAATTCAAATGGTCAACAAACATTTTTTTTAAAGAAGCACTGCAGCCTCATTAGCAATTAGGGAATGCGATCACCTGTGCAATAAGTACAGCAGGCATTGCACTCCCACCTCACACCCCACCCACCTTGCACACCCCCCACCTCAATCCTCCCCACCTTGCACACACAGCTCCATACTCAGAGGGTGTCTGACTAGTCCACAGTGAGCAGCAGGACCGGCACTTGCACCCAGCGAGGCCGGGCTGCTGTCCATTGCCTCCTCCTTTCCTCTGTGGCCTCCAGGGAAGTGCTTTCACTCCGGGCCCAGGCCTCTCATCTGGAGGGCTGACATGACACCTTTAAAGCCCTCCTCAGTTTAAAGGATTCTGTCTTTCTAAACAAAGAGAGGAGGGGAGAGCCAGGGGTCGGGTGACAAAGGGCACAGAGGGACTGTGGCAGGGGCACAACCTTCTCCTAACCCTTGGCGTCGGGAGAAACCCAAGCCCTGCCTGGTAGCCCACTCTTCCCATCAGGGCCAACAGCACTCAAGAATGTGGGCAGTCCTTTAGAATTCATCAACCTGAAATCTGCCTTCCTCTGCCCTTGCAGCCAAAACGAAAGCCATAAATAGCACGATCAAAATGTGCTTATCATTAGCAGTGGCATTTCCATGTTACGGATGAGAAGAAAAAAAAAAAATCAAGGTTCAGAGAGGGAACACTTGTCCTAGGCCGCGCAGCACAGAGAACGAGAACCCAGGTCTTTGTGACCCTACACCAGTGGTCGGCAAACTGCAGCTGGAGAGCCACATGCGGCTCTTTGGCCCCTTTAGTGTGGCTCTTCCACAAAATACCATGTGTGGGCGCACACGGACAGTGTGATTGAAACTTCGTGGCCCATGCGCAGAAGTCAGTATTTTGTGGAAGAGCCACACTCAAGGGGCCAAAGAGCCGCACATGGCTCGCGAGCCACAGTTTGCCAACCACTGCCCTACACCATGTCCCTTCTCACCTGCCTCTGGCCCCAGCCCTGGGCACCTCACCGCAGCACTCCAGCCTGCTTGGGCCCAAACTGTGCATTTTGTGCTAATGAAAAGGACACATTCCTCTCCTAAGCTCCATGTCTCAGCAATGCGGGCCACCAGCAGGCCCACCCATCGCAGACTTACCTGGCCCCAGAAGCAGGAGCAGCCCCAGCAGGAAAGCGTGTGGCCGCGGCCCCATGCCGGAATCCTCCAGGTGTCGCGGGTCAGGGGTGAATTGTTTCTGCAAATGGGCTGTCACTCCTTTTATGCGCCTGTTGTCTGATAGTGCGCCTGTCATAAATTTTACTGTGTTCACCTTTGAAAGGGGGCAGTGGCGGCTGTAAATGATAAATATTAACATTTAGGCAGAAGATTTCTCAGGGCGGATGGGTCAAAGATGGGCCTGGGCTCCCAGGATGATGGGTGCCCAGAAATTGCCACTGTTGGCATTGGTCTCCACCATGCAGAGAGGCTGGTTTCTGTTGTCCCTCATCCCATAAGCATGGGGTGGCCGAGAGTGTTGGCTTGAAGTGCACACCACACATCTGTTGCCTGCATGTTCCATTGAGAGATACAAGCCAGAGGTGAGCCGTGGAACTCATTGGGCAGAATCAGCAGTTTCCTGTGGGCAAACTCAGTGGGAATGCTGGCCTGGGTCTCAGCTGGACAGGCAGGGCTGAAATGTGAAACCTGGGCAACAAAATATCCTTGAGGGTGAGCTTTAAATTCCCCCCCTGCAGATATCAAGGAATAAATGCCTTTGGTTAACATGAGCAAATATATTTAAATCACCCATGCACGAGGCTACCCTCACGGCAGCCAGGCCCAGAGCCCAGCTCCTGAGATCTAGCTAGGAGTCCGGAGCTGGTTTCTATTACCCAACCTCAGATCTTGATCTGCCGACATGTTTCTCATATGCTTAAAATCACAGCGATAGCTTGGTTATCTTGAATATAAAGTGAAGACTAAGTGGGCGGCTCTTTGTTCCTCACTCCTGATATTAAGATGTCGTTTTCTTTTCTTATCTGCTCAGAAACATGTGGCTTGTGGGTGACCACTGATTGAGCCACAACAAAGGCTCAGCTTCAGAGCAGCACAGAGGTCTCAGGACACAGCAGGAGTGTGTGGACACCTGATACAACTAGCCCACTGGCCATCAGCTGGTCCTAGAGCCTGGCAGAGAGCAGGACACAGAGAAGGAAGAAGAAAATATCCCCAACTCCAGGTCTGCAGGGGCCAGTTGGGCATAGGTGCTCCTGAACATCTGACACTTATCTTCACTAAACTGCCCGCAAGCTCCACAAGAGACCCAGGTCTCCCTCCATTCATGCTTTGGCCAGTTGGAGGTGGGGTGGGAGGCATGATGGGAAATGGGCAGAAATAGCTTGGCTCTACAAGTCATGCATTTGCTTCGGTCTCTTCCTACTTTTCTGTATGATCGCCAGGCCCCACAGCTACTGTCCTGCTAGTAAAAATGTCAGGAGTCCAGCTCTATGCCCCCAGCAGCTCTGAGGACATCCCTGAATCTGCTTGGGCTGAATGAGCATTCACAGGTCTCCATTCATGCTTTGGCCAGTTGGAGGTAGGGTGGGAGGCATGATGGGAAATAGGCAGAAATAGCTTGGCTCTACAAGCCATGTATTTGCTTCTGTCTCTTCCTACTTTTCTGTATGATCGCCAGGCCCCACTGGGCTGGCACACACACCAACCTAATCTCCTTTACATTTAGAAAAATGACTTCGAAACATTTTTAACCGTTTTGAGGCATTTTGAAATTTCCTCTTAGATATTAGAAATCTTTGAGTCTTCTCAATACATCAAGAAATCCTCAACTGGGCCCAGCCAGGGTGGCTCAACAGTTAAGCCTCGACCCATGAATCAAGAGGTCACCAGTTGGATTCTGGGTCAGGGCACATACCTGGATTGTAGGCTTGGTCCCCAGTAGGGGGCGTGCAGGAGGCAGCCGATCAATGTTTCTCTCTCATTCATGTTTCTATCGCTACCATTCCCTTTCTCTAAAATAAAAAATAAATAAAAGAAATCCTCAACTGGGAGGCAGTGGGGAAATAACATTCCTTGGGCACTCCAGGAGGCACAGCAGTGGGCTGTTTACATCTGTTAGCTTAATTAGCACCTACTTATTATGTGATCTCTTAGCAGCTGTGAAAACAAGGGGGAAAAGCACTGGTCAAAAGCCAGAGACAAGCTCCATCACTTTTTTTGTAAATTTTTGTTTTCTGATTTTTGCTACTGAAATGTCCTAAAAGGATATGTCCTAGAAAAGGGAAGATGCTCCATTTCAGTTTTTAGCCTCAATCAGCGCATATTCCTGTTGGGAAAAGCACAGGCCCATAAATTCAAATCATTTAGGGATGGCAGTCCGTGCCTTGGCTGCGTGCTGTTGTCCAACAATCCACAAGGGGGTGCTAGACCAAGCGTGTGGATTAAAGCGGAGCTGACCTTAAGAGTATTTTCAAACTGGGGGTTACATACAACCCATTATTATCCCATGCATTTAATTTGGTGAATGATCAGCCCACTTAAAAAAAATTAAACAGAATATAAAATATCCAAAGGCATTGCATTTGGTAAGGGTAAATAATGTTTTGGAAAATTTTGTTTCAGCTACATGTGGTGATGCAATATATATTTCTTAATATTGATCATGGTAAAAAAAAAAAAAAGTAAGAAAGAAAACCACTACCTCAGAGAGTAGATTAGATCCACAAAGAAATCCCTAGACTTTGAGAGAAAGAAAACAGGGTTGTTTCCCTCTGGTTAAAAGATGCAGCTATACCAAATTCCCTTGTGTTAGGGGCTATAAATAATACTTGCAGTTAGCTCTGGCCTGGGGAAGAGTGTACAAATCAAACTTTTTACACGCAACCACATCAAAATTACAACTAAACAACACAACAGCCATCATTCAGAACTGCCTGAAGTCAAGCTGCAATGAAAGCCCACGAGGGAATTAAAGCCACATGGAGACTTGTAGAAGGGGTGGAGACAGGGATAGCTGGTTCCATCCCCTCATGTGGCAGATAAAAATCGGGAGGGATATCTGGGATGAGGAGGTCCCCCCTGAGCAGTGAGGGGTCCCAGGCCCACACCAGGCCCCCCAGCCCAGAGTGCCAGTGCCGGGAAGAGAAATCCCCATAACTTCCGGCTGTAAAAACCAGCGGGGATTGAGGCTGAGGGAGACAGAGGCTTCTGGAGTCCCAAGCAGTTCCTCTTAAAGGGCCCATGAACAGACCAACTCGGACTCACTCGCTCTGAGTTCCAGCTCGAGGGCAGCAGTTTGAAAGGCACCAAAGACATATGGGGAGGAGCTGAACTGTCCAGCGTCAGGGCAAGATCTGGGGGTGGGGGAGCAGCTTTCTCCCAGACAGAAGTGATGGCAGATCAGCCGGGCTGATCCGTGCACATGTACTCACACTGTAACATTTCTGAGCGCACCCTGCACATAGTGTCATTAGCTTTAGCAGCGAGGATGATGCACACACGTGTTTGCTTTGTCAGCTCCCTGTGCAGGCCGACTACTTATTGCTCCTTTTCTGAGGACCTCCCTCATCCCTCCTCACCCCCCCCCCTTACCCCCCGCCCACACACACACACACACACACACACACACACACATAGAACCAGCAGGCAGGTACCATATCTGAGACTCCATCAACCTGACTCACACTATTTGCCCCACCCTGGTGATTCCCTGAGGCCCTGCCCCACCCAACCTTCCAGCCCAACCAAGCTGTTTCCAGTGAAAAACAGACAAAATGAAGAAGGAACCAGTGATGTATGTCTATTAAAAAAGCATTAAAAACAAATTTCAAATATCACAGAAAAAAAAGAGAGAAAAGAAAGAACAACGGGGCAAATCGCAGTAGACACACACTCCACCAGACCTGGCCTTCTGATTCTTGCTAGCAGCTAGCACACTGCCTGTCGTAGCAGGAATTCATTCAACATTGAATGTAAATCAATAAATATATAAAAGGCAGGATAAAAGGAAGGAGACCTAAGGCTACCATGAAAAGATCAGCTCGACAGACAGAATAGCAAAGACAAAAGGAATACAAATCATGTTTTATGATAGATAACTAAGGAAAGAGGAGAGGCATGTTAGCCCAATACCATGAAGTAATGGGAGAAAACACTGGAGAAGCAACACTGCGGTTCACAGCTCCTGGCTCTTCCCCAAGAAAAAAATAGCCAGAAAAACACCATTATCCGTCCATGTAGTGGTCCTCAATCCCGACTGCATACTGGGATCGCCTAGATTTCGATAGGCTTTTAAGACAAATGCCTGTGCCTGGGCTGCACCCTCAGACACTCTGAGTTAACTGGTCTGGGTGGAACTTGGGCACCGGTCCTTTGGAAAGTTCCCTGATGGATCCTTATGTGCAGCCAGGGCTGAGGGCCCCTGGTCCAGTGGAGCCAGGCCTGCCCAGTGCCCAGGGCCTGCATCTCCATCCTGGGAAGGGGGTGGGGGGCTCCCAGGGAGACAGGCCAGCCAGCATGGCCAGTGGGCGCTGGCACACGGGAGCAGCTCTTCCCTGGATCTTCCAGACCTGAGATTCCACGTGGCAGGGCCCACGGAGTGCTCTGGGCAGACAAGTGGTGTGAGAGTATTCTGCCCACCAGGGGATCCCCAGGAACTTCTGCTCTGTGGCTAAACTTGCCCATAACTCAATTCCCTTTGCGTCCTGTCTGTGAGAGCTATGACCTGTTCTTCAAATCCAAAGGGAATAACCAAAATCTCCCCGTCTTTCCCAGGAATCTCACATGCTTCAGACCTTGCTGGGCAGCTGCTGGCTCCCACAGCCCCAACCATCATGTGCTAACCCACAGGCCGCCCTGGCTGCATCAGAGCAGACCACCTGCCCTGGAAGGCTTCTCCCGGAATAGGGGTCCAGAGAAGGAAGAGCCTTCCTACCACAGCTGGGACATCCCGCCATCCATGCTGCTGCTCCAGAATGGGCCGTGGGTCATCGCTGCGGGGCAGGGGACTGCTGTGGTGTGGTGTCACCAGCTGGGCTGATCCATGCACATGTACTCACACTGTAACATTTCTGAGCACACCCTGCACATAGTGTCATTAGCTTTAGCAGTGAGGATGATGCACACACGTGTTTGCTTTGTCAGCTCCCTGGGCTGGTCGACTACTTATCTCTAAAGGCACCACCTAAGGCCAGGGCT